GAAAAAGGTCAAGGGTGGTCAAACGAAGACCTGGCATGAGGGTATGAAAATCCTATCTAAAAGACTAGGTTACAGGCTCCGTTAGACTCCCTGGTTGGGGACCTCGGGTGGTGGTCACCGATGGCCCCCAGCCAGGGAGCCTAACGGGACCTATGTTACTCACACTCCTAATAAGGGTTTTCATACCCTCATCCCAGGTCTTAGCTTAACCACCCTTGACTTTCTTCCACCCACTACCTGCCTCGGCGAACATCGCTCGCCGTCGCAACCTATTTGGTGACATGCGTAACACACCCCAACCACTTGCTCCAGTGGGCGACCGCATTTACCCAAAACTCTGTGCCTAACTTCAGCATTGCTTGTCCGACTACCCCACCCGATTCGTTCGTCGCTGCGTTGACAGCGGTGTTCAAACACCGACAGTCTATGTTTATCCTGTTTTCTTAATTGCCAAGTTTCTGCGCCGTAGAGCAGAACTGGCCGAACTGCCGCAGCATACACTCGGCCCTTAACAGACAACCGGATGTTGCGACGGCGCCACAGATGTCTCAAGTTAGCAATTGGCAACTGAGCCTTCTGTATGCGAGCTGGCACTTCATCTGGGATGCGTCCACCGTTTGAGATGTGGCTTCCCAAGTAAGAAAACTTGCTGTATTGCTTATCCGGTTAGAGTTAAGCTGGGTGCTGGTCCAGTCTGGAAGTAACATTTTATACTTTGAAGGTGCAAAACGCATACCAAACATGACTGCACTAGCACTCAAACTATCTTGAAGGGCTTGTGACTTACCTGGATCTTCACTTAGTAGCACNACCCTGTCGAACACCACTTTCTATAGTGAACTCGGGCGAAAAAGTGCTGTGGGCTCGGACTCCACTTCGGCTATTTGTATAAAGGCATTATAATACTGAAATTAACTTCTGGAGCACACCTTTCAAGGAAGGGCAGCGCAGAGCATAGAGCGGTCGACTGAGTCGAAAGCCGCTTTCAGATGGAGGAAGATAGACATGGTGGGTTTACGAAAGGAATGTCGGTGCTCCAGAGTGTGGCAGAGAGTGAAGATGTAGTTGATACAATATCGATCAGGTTCCAAAGCCAGCCTGGTTCTCACGCGTGCACCGTTCACGTGCGGCACATAATCGATGGAGTATGATCCCGGCGCGAGGTTTAGATGCGATGTTAATTAAACTGATTCCTCTGTGGTTTTCACGAGAGGATCTGTCACCCTTCTTGTACGATCACCGATTCACACCATTCTTTTGGAACCTTTCGCTCTCAGGGGTTTCATCAACTTCAAGGCCAATGCTGAGTCTCCATCCTCAAACGCGTATGGGAACAGCCCATCTGGGCCAGAGGCCTTATATCTTTTGCGAAAACTTATTTCCCGGGAAATCTCTGTTTCAGATGGAGGACTAGCATCAATTGGGTGTATTTGCGCAGTCGAGGTGGGTTGATAAGTCAGATGCCGAAGGGGGCCAGTTGAAGTGAGCCTCAAATGTTCAGTCCAACGGTCAAGACGTTGCTGATGGTAAATCAGTGTGCCATCGGATTCCTGAATTACCTAGGGCCCGTATTCATAATTAGACGGAAGAGATTGCGACCATTACCAATAGCCGCAGCTTTCTCCATCTCTTTACACTTTCTTATCCACCACTTCTCGCGGTCATGCCTCAGCCTCTTGATGAGCTGGCGTGTTGACCAATGTGATAGAGTGTGCGGATATT